TCTTTCTGATCTGCTCAGATCTCGGGCGGCCATGTGTTCTGCAGCCTTCCTCAGAAGTATCACAAAGCGGCTCTTTCAGAATATTTCGCCTTAAGGAACAATCCAGTTCCAAAAAAACTGGAGAGGGGGGCGGGCGAAAGATCTGATCCAGAAAAGGTTGCAATACGTACATGGGCCTCCAGGCAGCTCCTACTCAACCAAGAAAACTCTGGCGTTGTTGTAGGCATGCGCAGAAGCCTGGGGACAGAAAGCGCCAGTGGATGAGAAAAAGGGGGTGAACTACTCTGCAGAACTTGAAGCTATTCAGCTATGCGAATCCTGTCGCTTCTACTGTGCAGTTTAAAGAATTGTCAGACTTCTGGCAGGCAGGATCAAAAACGTTTAAACCTCTGCGGTCCATGCTTTAAAAAGACCAACTGCGTGTCAGTTTCGGTAGCCACACAGAACTCTTGAAACCAGTTCTTCGTCCCCAGTTTCAGCCGACGTTCCACTGAGAGGTCGGCCTAGCTCACTCTTGAAAAGGGATCCTTCGCCTCTGAGCTGCGGGTTTCCGTGGGATCGGAGGAAAGCAGCCGCCCGGGGACGTGTGGAACCCCCACGGGGAAGGAGGACGCGGACGTCCGAGGTTGCTCGGCCACGGCAAGAATTGTCGGAAGCAGGAAACCGGGGCAGCCCCATTGTTGAGCCGATCTGAAACCCAGACAGATTCCGGCCGCCTTGCATAAAGGAAAAAGAGGAACAAACTCTGTCTGTATGTGTGTGTGTGTGTGTGTGTGAGAGAGAGAGAGAGAGAGAGACTTAGCTCAGAAGGCTGGTTTGCTTGGGGAGGCGTTCTGACAGCATGCTTGCAAAAGTCACAGTGCCTCTGAGCATGTGCAGAGTAGCTTTGCCGTTCACCTTTGCACAAGGCAGCTCCCCAGCCCCTCCGAAGCGCCACCGGGCGCAGGAAACCCGGTGGCTGAGGCTTGGGGGAGCGCATCCTGGTTGGACTACGGCAAAGCGCCGCATGTGGGGCAGCCCCTGAAGACAATCTGGAAGTATTTAGTCTTCTTTATCCTTCACGCCCTAAAGGTCTCCTCGGCTCGCAGCCACGTGGAGGAGCAGCTCCACCTAACCAACCAGGCTGTTCCATGAAACAACGGGCAAAATGCGGCCACGAGGCTCCACGTGGCTCCGGAAGGATTTTCCGTGGCTTGGAGGCCCCACAACGGATCGGAAAGGACACCAGAAATGGATTTGCAGAAGTAGACCCTTTAAAGATGTTGCGCCTTGGCTATTTCCAAGGGAGATGTCGATCCTCGTGCATACTCCGTGTTCCTCACAATTTTAAAACAAATCCCTCTTCCAAATACAGTGGTGCCTCGCTTAACGTTAATTCCCTAATCGTACAGCGATTTTGTCGTAGAGCGGGGCAATCGCTAAGCGAGGCACCACTGTATTGTCAACAACGGTGTGTGTTTGTGCGAACAAGGGGATGGCCTTTTTCAGGGTGGTTCCTTGCCTTCAGAAACACTGAGGGGCACCCGAGTTACAACATGTTCTCAAGGAGCCCAGACGTGGTTTGAAATGGCTCTTAAGTCACCAGGTGTTTCAATGGTATGTTCTGATCCCTGACGCTATTACAATCATCATCACGACCAACGTTTGCGTGGCTTTGTCGGTTCTTGTCTCTGCCTCACATTTTTGAATAATAATACCTTTCAATATTCTGATTTTTTAAAAAATACTGTCCATCGCTTTATGGGGAGGACGATGGGATACGGAGTGAAGAAACTGATGGGGTGGCAAACAACTGAATGAACCCCGATGATTCTACCTGGTTCCACGATATCTCTGATTTTAGCTGGTTTCCTCCTCAGAAGACGCTAGAATGAAGGGCAATTTGCAAAATTCGGAAATAAAGAGATTAAGCCAAGGAAAATAACAAACCAGCCAGTCTTTGACCATGTGCAGAGTGCATTCTCCAGGCCAGCCTCACTCCTAGCTAAGTCATCACAGACAGGATGTAGGCAGATAGGCTCCTTCCCTGTATTTATTTCTTTTGAAGTGCGAGTCATTTGGTTCTAGATTCAGTGGGAAAACGAAAATAAGCCACATACCAAGATTTTGAAAGACGAAACCACTAAATCTGTGACTTTTCTAAGCAAGAGCTGTTGGTCGGAAGCTTTGGGGGTGTGTGGTGCCCATTCAATTGAGTTTGTCCTTGTGGGAGGAAGGCAGTGCTTAGTCCTCTGATTGATTGATTGATTGATTGATTGATTGACTGATTGATTGATTACCCTGTAGCAATCAGTCCTTATTAGCCTTCTGCCTTGTTGACCGGTTGATTAATACCTGCTTCCAGAGACTCTTGCCTAACCACCATCCTAATAAAAATACATGACACAAAAGGAAAGGAAGATGAGGAGGGAAAAGGAAAACAGCGTGCACCAAAAGCTCAGGAAGAAGTTCGGATGGGAATCGTTAGCTGGGGGCGGGGGGATTAGCTGGTCCTTCTAACGGGAGACCACTAGAGATCGAACCCAAGACCTTCTCGCTCCAACTTGCCAAGGCCCAGTTTTTCAGTGTGTGTTCGTTAATTGAAGAAACAAAATTGAAACACAAGTTTCTAGCCCTCCTGCTGAGGTGGGGCTGGCCAGATGGGTTTAGGAGGGCCATTCCCAGCTTTTTCTCACCCTGCGCGGCTCGCTGGCTCTCCCACTGACCGAGTACTCGCTTGTAGGGCTGACCTTTGGCAGCCTACTCAAGTTTTTTCTCTCTCTAAATACCAGGAAAAGGATCTGTTTCAATGGCTTTTGAAAAGGAAGGGAAATAAAAGTTATTTGACAAAACATATAATGTCACGATGAGACAAAATTGTTTAAACTTGGGGGCTGTTGACAAAGGAAGGTTCAAAGAAAGGTAAACTACACTCACTCACTTGTTATTTTACCTGCTGCCCACTTGGCTTCTAACGCACAGCGAGTTTTCAAGGTATATGAAATATTTGATGAGGGACCCATCGCTGTTGCTTCTCCACTGAGGCTCCATGGCTGAATCGGGATTCGAACTCAGGTCTGAAAAATGTGGATTATAGCCAACACAATTATAATAGTAGCTAAAGCTCTACAATCATAGCATGGCCTCTGGCTCCTTCTAGTGGCCAGTTCTGGTAACTTCACCTTTAGAAATGTGAAATTTCTAGGTTATTAAGGTTTTTCTTTTAATATTTTCAGACCGTGGATCAGTGAATCAGCAGATATTGATCCCGCGGATAAGGGAGTCCTCTCTCTATCTTTTTTTTTGCAGGAAGATGTGATAACAAGAATAGCTCCCCAGAGACCAGAGATGGGTGTACGCAGACATTGCTGTCCAGTTCTGATGTACAAACATGCAGAGTTTCAAGTGTCACAGCACCTTTTTGCCCGATGAAGATTTCTGTGAGTCTCAAACCTCTGTATCCTTGCAGGACGGAAAGAAATGCAGCTGGATACACCTGGGTTAAGAGGGCGAGACATTTTATTGCCAGGATTCACAAGTGTCCTTGCGGAGGTGGCCCGTCACAAAACACCCCACAGCACCAATATATTAATTAGTCATCCAAGCTTTGTGCCCAGGTTCGAAAATTCGGGGCCGACAGAGGAGAAGTGAGACCCACCCCTTCTTCCCCCCTCCCCCGAAATTTCAGGGCTTTCGAAAATAAACATTTTTAAAAACTCATTTACAGTTAAATATTTCAAAGAGGCCTTTTTGTTTTTAAAGGTAGGCACTAATAATTAATCCGGCCGATGCAACTCTGCCCAGAAAAAATCTTGCACGCCAGCTTATTTGCACGGCAGAGCTTCTATCCAGCAACACCACCCTGCAGGAGGTGTGTGTGTGTGTGTATGTGGGGCAAGATGCGGGGTGGCAAGGGGTCGTACGCTCAGCCTTCAGGGAAGCAGAAGGAGCCGCCCCAGAATGAGACAAGATTCGCACTCATTCCCATCTGTAGAAACGGGCAGATTTAAGAGTTTAAAACTACAAATCGGCAGACTCCCCTACCTCTTCTAGCAGGGAGCGATTCTCCGGGATTCCGGACAGGCGCCGAGGATCAAACCCGGAGCATCGTGCATACAAAGCTTACAAAAGAGAAAAAGCAAGGTGCTAGTCCTCAAGGGTCTGAGCTGAGAGGGGGGGGGCTGGCCTGAAGAGAAACCTAGGACAAGGTTTATCTTAAGTTGGACCTTAGAATTCATTTCACCCCATGAATGGCAATTAATTTCCCCCGGCGTTCCGGACAGGCGCCGAGGATCAAACCCGGAGCATCGTGCATACAAAGCTTACAAAAGAGAAAAAGCAAGGTGCTAGTCCTCAAGGGTCTGAGCTGAGAGGGGGGGGGCTGGCCTGAAGAGAAACCTAGGACAAGGTTTATCTTAAGTTGGACCTTAGAATTCATTTCACCCCATGAATGGCAATTAATTTCCCCCGGCGCTATCCAAGAGGATGGAGAGGGGTCCTCGGGTCTCCCTACCCAGCCATTTCTGGACACGTTTCCAGCACAAAAAACCAGAGTATTTTGGCATGCAAATTAGGGTCCTCGGGTCTCCCTATCCAGCCATTTCTGGACACGTTTCCAGGACAAAAAAACAGAGTATTTTGGCATGCAATTTTTTTTTAAAAAATGCTAAGATGTGTTACTTTCCCAGACAAATGGATTCCCAAATCCTTCAAGTGGTGGGTTTCTCGGAATCACAAGGTCCCACCCCAAGCTGATCCTTTACCCCTTTGGAGGTAGGATGAGATGCGGGTCTCTCGTCTCCTACCCTAAGTTTCGCGTGGAAGGGAAAAGCAGGGGGAAAGATGGAGACCGACCTGATGAGGTTCCTCGACCATCAACCAACGAGGGTCAACCTGGTCTCCGTAGCTGAATGTTTTTGACCATCGAGCCACAGAATTGCAGCTTTTCACACACACACACAAAAGGGGCGGTTTCATTCAAACATCCACACCTTTCTGCCCCCCAAAAAATCCAATTCACACACACACACACACACACAAAGGGGGCGGTTTCATTCAAGCATCCACACCTTTCTGCCCCCCAAAAATCCAATTCCCCCCCAGAGTAGTTTGGTGACTGTACAAACTTTGCAAGACAAAAAGCCGCCGGCGTTTCTCCCTTTGCTTCTCTTGGGGGGGGGAGAAAGCAGAAGGAAAGCCCGCAAATTCTTCCAAGGTTAGGGTTTCGTCCAGAACCGAGTGCAAATCCGTACGGTTTGGAAGGGACCCTCTTTCTCAAGGGCGTTATAAAACCGAGGCGCATCCCGTCAACGTCGACGCACCCCCGTTACATCCTCATGCTCCCTGCCAAGCGGGGTGCGTGTGTGTGAAATCATTGACAAAAAAATCTGTCGAAACTCAAAAGAGTTTGTCCTCGCATCCCGACGTGCAAAGGGAAGAGATGCCAGCCCGAGGCCGGTTCAGATGGTGATGTGGAAGGAATCTTGCAGCCACTGGTCGCGGGAGTTCTGCGGCTGCAGCAGGCGGAGGCGGGGGCCGAAGGGGCTCTCCTTGGGGCCGTCGGGGCTGAGGGGGTCGAGTTCGAATTCTTCCTCCTCGTCCGAAAAGCCGTTCTCGGCCGCCAAGCTCCCTTCCGAGTGAAGCGAGGAAGACATGTCTTGGAAAAGGCCTTTGTACTCCTGGATGGACTCGTACAAGGACCACAGCTGGCACAGGAGGGACATATCCAGCTGGCGAAGACCCACCTGCAACGGGAACAAAGGGGGAAAGGGTCGAGGTCCAGCTCGGCCAGGACTCAGTCCGGTCGGCCACTGAATCGGGCTGCGCAGAAAAAGGCGACTCCGAAACCCCCTTCCGATCCACATCTGAGGGTCAAGCCCCACGAACGGGAGGGAACACTCCTGTATCAAAGCTACGGCAGGGCCCCCGGGATCCGCAGGGGATCATTTTCAAATCCCTCGCGGATGCTGAAAAACACGGATAATCGCAAACACTATGATCGTAGCTCTACATCACATGCTCTCTGGCTCCCTCTAATGGCCACTTCAGGCAACCTCCTATCGAGGGAAGGTGTCTTGCTGGGATTTTTCTTTTAATATTTTAAAGACCATGGATAAGTGAATCAGCGGGTCCCGATCCCGTGGATATGGTGGCCCTCCTGTATTGTAGCCAGGGCAGGGCTGGACTGGATGATCTTTGGGGGGTCCCTTCCAGCTCTGCCGATTTATGATTACAGATATTATAGCTATAGATATATATTATACGGTGCCTTGATATGCAGTAGATTCACAACGTGCCCCCCTCCCTCACACAGTTGTGTTTCACCCTCTCCCCAGCCTACAATGTTTGAAGGGGAAATTATCTTTCAGATTTCTGACACGGCAAACGACGAGGGCCTCGCTTAACGACGTTGATTCGTTCCAGCAAAATCACTGTAGAGCGAAAATGTCATAAGGCGAAATAAAAAAGCCCATTGAAACACATTGAAAACCGTTCAATGCGTTCCAATGGGTTGAAAAACTCACCATCCAGCGAAGAACCTCCATAGGGGTGGCCATTTTCGGTGCCTGTAGAGCGAGGAATCCGTCCAAAAACACAGCGGGGAGCCATTTTGAGCACCCGGCGGCCATTTTGAAAACCTGACGATCAGCTGTTTTGATCGTCGTAATGCGAAGAATCGGTTCCCGAAGCAGGGAACCGATCATCGCAAAGTGAAAAAAGCCCATTTAAAACATCGTTTCGCGATCACCGTGAAACGGATTCGTCAGTAGTAGTAGTAGTAGTAGTAGTAGTAGTAGTAGTAGTAGTAGTAGTAGTAGTAGTAATAATAATAATAATAATAATAATAATAATAATAATAATAATAATAATAATAATAATAATAATAATAAAAAATAGCTTGCTTTAAGGAGAGGATTGATTCAAGCTCTTGAGTCTACTGATTTTGAGGGTCCCTCAAAAAAGAAAAAGGTGAGACAATTGAACAGATTAAACTGTCCTTTTTATCTTGAGAGGTTTCAAGGGCTTGAAGAAAGTCCTTGAAAAACCAAGAGGGTCTTCACCGAATGCACGTCAGCAGGACTGCATGGCATGCAAAAGCGAAGCAAAGATTAGCCGCAGCCTCTTCTGGCCACTTCAGTGAACGGAAAAGGTCTTGAAGACCATATAGATTTATCTGCAATCAGCCTTCTGGCAACAGATTCCCATTTTTGTCAATAAAAAGCTAGCTAAGCAAGGAACCCTCTGCATTGAAGAGAAATAAAAAGGCTGCTTAGTTAGAGAGGTGTTGGGACAGACTCTCTCTCTCAAAAAAGAGAGGAAAAAACGGCACAAATTTACCCGTTCCAGGAAATGTCAGAGACCAGTCATTAGATACGGAGGTGAAATTAGTCACAAGTTTTTCAAGATGACACAACGCTAGACGATAACTTTATCATCGTCCAACGGCACATACTACCGAAAGACTAGAGATAAAAACAATTGTGAAAATATAGTTTTTGGAATCTAACATATTAAAAAATGGCAACACAATGCACAGTCACACACCCCCGCCTTATGATGATGTCTCTTTACAGAGCGGATGCTGAAGGACTTTGAAGGAAACCGTCTGGAGGGCCCATAATGTCGACATTACGGCCGAGAAACGGTTGTGAGCGACAGAAAAGGAGAAGCGGCTGCTGTGATTCGAAACAGAAATAAAAGCTGTAAAGAAAAATCTGTTACCCCCGAAGCCGCTTTGGGTCCTTTTTTTTTTTTAGGAGTAAGGTGGGGTAAAAAAAAATATGTTTAATAAAATAAATAAGTTTTCAAGGGGCTGTGTATTCTTCTCACTGAAAAGACAGAACGGCTGAAATTCTGTGGCTTCGGAAATAAATAAGTTTTCAAGGGGCTGTGCATTCTTCTCACTGAAAAGACAGAACAGCTGAAATTCTGTGGCTTCAGACAGCAAGTTGCACTAGAGTAGGCCCACTGGATCAGAGGGGACTTCTTCAGTCAACGCCTCCGAAAGCTCAATGGATTCAAAGGGGCCAACTTTACTGTACAGTGATGCCTCACTAGACGATGATAACCAGTTCCACTGAAATCGCTGTTTAGCGAAATCATCGTCTAGCAAAAAGCATTTCCCCATTGGAATGCATTGAAACCTGTTTAATGCGTTCCAATGGGGAAGAATCGTTGTTGTCTAGCGAAGATCGGCCATAGGAAAGACGCTTTGCGAACCGCCGACCAACTGTTTAAATTGCCGTCTTGCGAAGCTTAGGTCCAGAAAACACCTGTTTTGCAAGCGCGGAGGGAGCGGTCAAAACGTCATCTAGCGAAAATCGGTTTGCGAAGCAGGGACCAAATATTGTCCAGCGAAATTCCCCCATTGGAATCACTGTTTTGCAAATCGCTATAGCGATTGCAAAAAGTCAATGTCTAGCGAAAAAACTGTCATGCGGGGTAACAGTCTAGCGAGGCGACACTGTAGTTGTAAACTTACTGCAGTAAAGCAACTCACAATTACGAGTAGCGCATTTGAAGCAATGGTGCTGATAGAGGAGATGCCTCATCAGCTTCCCCCATGATTCAACGAGCCTACTTTAGTGTAACTTGCTAGGCTAAGCAATAGGATTTCAGCCATTTTGCCAATTTCACCCAACTTCTGTAAACTTATGGAAATACTCATGCCAAGAAGTTTTCCAACAAGGCACTTCACAGTGGCTGAAATCCCTTTGCGGATCTCCGTGTATGCAACAGGGATGATGTCATCATCATCATCAAATCAGGGCTCAACAAGGCACTTCACAGTGGCTGAAATCCTGTGTATGCAACAGGGATGATGTCATCATCCTCATCAAATCATGGCTAAATTAAAAGCAAGTCTTCCCTGGCAAAAAGCGAATTTGGGGTAATAATCCTGGGTTTGTGCAAATGTTGATGCACAGGCACAATTTGAAAGTACTCTGCTGCCCCCTGCTGGACGGGGAACATTTTTGACAACCGTCCGCTTCATGTCTCCTTTTAGAAGCAGTCAGTGGAGAACTTGGGACCGTTAGAATGACAAACGAGTGGGTCCCCGGATCCAACTGAGCCCGAATTTTCTCTAGAGGCAAAAGTTATGAAACAGAGGCCGTCTTCCTTGGGGCACCTCATGAGAAGGCAGGATTCTCTAGAAAAGACAATAATGCTAGGAAAAGTTGAAGGCAGCAGGAAAAGAGGAAGACCCCCATATGAAATGGACGGACTCGCTCAAGGAAGCCACGAGTTTGAAAGAGCTGAACAGGGTCGTGGATTATAGGAAATGTTGGCAGTCCCTCGGAGGTGACTTGACGGCCCCAAAACAACTGTCATTTTGGTCCCGGGAAGTTCAAGCGCTCTTAAGAGTGCATTTTACCTACAACAGGTTCTCGTTAGCGCAATTCAGATCCTCGGAAAAGCTTAAATCTGAATGGGGTCAGCAGGAAGCCTTGGGGTTAAAGGGTTTCAGGACCAGAGGGGGTCGGTCACGATTCGAAGAGGAGACCTTTTGGGAAAGGAGAGCCTTCGCCACATGCTCAGGAACCGGCAGCTTCACAGCCCTGAGGGTCCTCGTCTTTAAACCTCTCCACCCCACAAAACGGGATGTGTGATGCTTCCGGTTCCCCTTGTCTCGGATTCGAGTTTGAGGCAACTTACGGAACCGTGTCTTTCTACTGTGGTTCTGAAGGAATGATCTCCAAAATCTCCTATCCTCAGCCTCAGCTCCTGTAAACAAAAGCCTGTGGCTTCCTTTAGGGACTCTGTCCATCGCACATCGTCTCTTCCTCTTCTCCTGCTGCTTTCCACCTTTCCCAGCCAGCTGGGTCTTCTCCAGAACATCCTGCCTTCTCGCGAGGTGCCCAGAAGAGCACAGCCTCACTTTCCACAATTTTTTGGCCTCCAGAGAGCACTCCGGATCAGTTTGATCTCGGCACCCCTTTTTCTCGGCCTTTTCTGGCAGCGTCCTGCGTGATCCGCAAAGCTCTTCGGCAGCACCGCCTGTCGAACAAATTCACGCATTTCCCCGCCGGCTTTCTCAACCGTCCTGCTTTGACACCCGTACGTGGTGACCGGAAAGAAACACAAGCGCGTGGATGATCTTGAGCTTGTTCTCCCGTGAGACCTCCTTCCACTGGATGATCTTTCCTAATTCCTTCACGGCTGCCAACATGCCCTACTTCAATCAGCGCATTTTTCTTTCCAAGGGCCCTCGGAGGACAGTCCTCTTTTCCGACATATCCTAAATCTGCAGAATTTTCCAACGGCCTTTCGTGTCTTCCTGGACATGAGAGGAATAAAGAGGCCACCTTTCCTTCAAGGAGACCCGTATATGCCTTCCTTAGCATTTTTCTTATTACGTTTATCGTTTAGCGCCGCCGTAGGCATGCAAGCTTTAGATTTTTTGAGTGGTGACTCTGGGAACGGCCCTCTAAAAAAAGCGCACTTCGAGTTTTCCAGGAATTGGTTGCGTCCAGCCAAAAAACTTAATTTTTACTCCTTGTGATGCAAATCTTATGTCCCCCCAACTAAGACTCATACGATCCACATGCTGTCAAGTCAATTCTGACTTAGGGTGGCTTTTTTTTCCAGGTAGAGAATGTGGCTGGAACCCTTCCCTTCTTTTGGGGTTGCCCCCTGCAGCTGGAGGCCCGGTGCGGGACTCGAACGCCTCACCTCTTACTCCACGGCCAGAGGGGCCAAACCCCTGAACTGGTTGAAAAACCACATTAAATAAGGAATATTGCGTCGTTCAGCGGCAGCCAGAATCAAAGCCGAATTCTGCACCGTCGGGAGCGCTTGACGGTTTTAGCAAAACAACAGCTTTGCGAGGCGGGCGAGGGGCGAGTCCCTGACAGAGGAACCGTAAAGGGTTGTGTGTGGGGGGGGTCTTGAAGTGCGACCCATTTTGTATGGCAAATATTTTGGGGTTCCGCGGATGATGCTCAACCAAACTGGCTGGTCTTCAAGGTTCCCCATCTTGGGGGGGGGGGCTATTTGTTCAATGGATCCTCATTGGGGAAATCAGCACCCGCGGCTTCCCTTGGCGGAGCGGGCTGGGATTTGCAAAAGCCGAATAAAAAGGCCCAAGGCTTAGGTGTCTGCCTACGAAGCCAGAGGTTGGGAGTTCAATTCCCGTCCGGGGCCTCACAGGGTCCCTTCGCAGCTCTGTCCTTTGATGAATTACAAACTGCTGGATAATTCAGCGATGGAGGATAGCTGGCTTGGGGAGTCCGAGGTGGAGAGTTCGAATCCTCCCTGTGCCAGCTGGATGATCCCTATAGGGTCCCCTTCCAGCGGCGCATCCAAGAGGCTGGAGGTTCGACTCCCGTTTCCAGCCCTGGTGATGGTGATGAGGAGTATGATTCCCACCCATCCCATCCCCTCCCCTCCCTGGGGGGTGGGGGTGTCCCTCCTTACCATCTCCTTGCGGAGGAGGGCGAGGGCGGCGTCGAGGTTGGCCGGCCTGGGGGGGGCTCGCCTCCTCCTCCTCCTCCCTTCTTCCTCCTTCTCCTCCTCTTCCTCCCGGTCCCGATCCCGGTCCCGATCCCGTCGGAGGTCGGCCTGGATGCGGGTCTTCTTGCTGTAGACCTTCTCGATCTCCCTCCAGGAGCCGCCGCTGGAGTGCAGGATCCCGCTCAGGCCTTTGGGGAGCGGCGGGAGGCCCTCCAGTAAGGAGACCCCCGGCCCGGCCGTGGAGGCGGAGGATGATGCGGAGAAGGATGATGATGCGGCGGCGGTGATGATGCTGGTGCTCCTCCTCCTCTCCGGGGGGGACCCCGCCGCCGGCAGGACGCTCATGGTGGCCGGAGGAGGAGGAAGAGGAGGAGGAAGGGGCGCCGGATCGGGGCCCGGAGGAGGAGGTCAAGCCCCGGAGGGGAGCGGAGCCCCCCGAGCCATGGAAGGGAGAGGAGGCAGCCGGTGGGGGGCTCGGCTCTGCTGCTGCCCAACTCCTGGGGGGCCGCCGGATCGGGACCACCCCCCCTCTTCCAAGGGCGGTGGCTGCACTCTGGCCACGCTCAGAGGCACTCTCGTCCCGGGGGGTCCCCCGCAAGGGCGCGCCTCCTTTCCTCCCCCTTCCTTCCTTCCTTCTTCGGCCTCTCCTCCTCCTCCTCTTCCTCCGTGCAAGGGCGGGATCGTGGCCCCGGGCGCCCCGTCTCTGCTCCGCCCGGTGCGCCCGCCTTTGTCCCTGCCGGAGCCCCGCCTGCCCGTCCGCCGGCCAGAGGAGGCAGGGAAGGAGGGAGGCGAGTGCGCCTGCGTGGGCGCTTAAAGGGGAGGCCCCGGGAGGGAGGGAGGAGGGGCTGCTGCCTGGGGAGGACAGGCGCTCAGGGTTTGGGGGGGCTTCCCCTGCCCCCAGGATCTCGGGCTCCCCCCCTCCCAGCCGGTCCCAGGGCCACCCTGACCACCAAGAAACTGGTTGACCTTCTCTTATCAATGGGATCCCTTTCCTTAAGGGGAGGCCCCGGGAGGGAGGGAGGAGGGGCTGCTGCCTGGGGAGGACAGGCGCTCAGGGTTTGGGGGGGCTTCCCCTGCCCCCAGGATCTCGGGCTCCCCCCCCTCCCAGCCGGTCCCAAGGCCGCCCTGACCACCAAGAAACTGGTTGACCTCCTCTTATGAATGGGATCCCTTTCCTCCCCACCAGAAAAGGGGGAAGGATTCGAACCCAGGCCTCCCGAGAGCCCTTAAGGCCCAGGACTCTCTCTCTCTCTTGGTCCATTGCCTGGCCTTGGGGATGGGGGAGCAGCCAGAAGGGGCCCGAATATAGGCACTTGGCAGGGTAAAAATATATTTTGAATATATTACAAAATCCAGGAGACTCTGATGCGAGGGTCATTCGGGGTACTTTGGTCTTCCTCTAGAAGGCAGAAGCTTTCTCTCTTTTTTGGGGGGGGCACCCAGGCTCTCCTCATTTCTCACACACACATCCCATGCTTCGCGGTGGAGAGGGTGGCAGCCGGTGCCAGCCTGGCCAGCATAAAGGGACCCTAGACTTTTTTTTAGGGGGGCAGCGTCGGGCCGAAGCTCCACAGCCCAGCCGGCCCCTCCGAGGCCGAGGAAGGGCCTCCCAGGCGGGACCCTTCTGGATTTAGTTCGACCGAGCACGAACTGGACGAACGCCCGGCTGGAGAGCTCAAGGGTGTTTAGATCGGTGCCCGAGGCTGTGAGTTCGAGTCCTGACTGGGCCTCCTTAACAGGGGCCCGACCTGATGACCCTCGAGGGGGGGTATCCCCTTCCCGGCTCTGCAGTTCTACATTTACTATTATTATGCCTTGTTGCTTTCTATAGTCCTTAACAGGGGCCCGACCTGATGACCCTTGAGGGGGGGGTGTCCCCTTCCCGGCTCTGCAGTTCTACGTTTGCTATTATTATGCCTTGTTGCTTTGCATGCGTTTTTGGTGTTGCTTTTACCCTTTTTAGTGTAGCACTTGTTTAATTCCTTTGGGATATTTGTATCCTTGACTGCTTTTAACTTTTAAACATTTCTACTGATACAAGTTGCCCTTTTTAAAGAGGAAATGCGGGGTGGGGGAATCTTTTAAATAAATCATAGAAGGAAGCAGAGACGATAGCCCTAAATCGGGCTAGCCCGGGAATCCATTGCACTCCGAAACAAACTTTTGCAAACTGTCTCGAAGGAGGGCGAAGAGATTCGAGCCCTCAAATCCCAAAAAGCGCAGTGGCTGGTGGAGAGGACGCCGGATCGTGGCGTGGTCTACCTTCAGTCCTTTGACTGAGAGAAAGGGTTAAGGGTATAAAAGGCAGGGGTTCGGGTGGCCCATTTCCCTTTTAACCTCCTGCCCAAAATCGGAGACCCACCTCTTCAGGCAGGCTTTGGTTAACCCTAACTTGGAGTCCCTGAATGTTGGTTTCCAGCAGAGTCAAGTTTGGTTCGAAAGCTTTAAATGTTTTCAAACATTCAGTGCATTGTAACTACAGTTATCGCTTAATTTTTTAAAAAAATGTACAATCAATTGTGCTTTCAATTTAATTTCTCCTGAACACGGCGAGCCACCGAGGTGTGTGACAAATAAGATCCCACACAATGTTGTCTTTCTTGTCACCATGTATGGATGTGAAAGCTGGAGAGTTAAGAAAACTGACAGGGGAGAAAAAAGGATTTGTTTGACACGTCCCGCTGGAGGAGAGCTTTGCCGATACACCCTGGAATGACAGAAAGACGAACCAGCGGGGTCCTGGATCAAATCAAGCCGGAAGGATCTCTGGAGGTCAAAATGCTGAAATTGAGGCTGTCTTGCTTTGGGCACTGCATGAGAAGGGAGGGTTCTCTGGAAAAGGGTGTCATGCCAGGAAAGGCGGAAGGCAGCAGGAAAAGAGGAAGACCCCCATACGAGATGGACGGACTTCCATCAAGGAAGCCACGATGTCTTGAGTTTGCAAGAGCTGAGCAGAGCTGTCGAGGACAAAACATTTTAGAGGATGCTCATTCACAACTTGGGAGGCATCTGTAACAAGGTGAAGCCAACCAGCCAAGAAGAGCATGCTCCCTTTCTGCCTAGCCTGCTTTGCTGGGTTGTTGTACAGGTTACAAAAAAGGTGGTCTGGCTATTCTCTGTAAGACCTTGCAGGATCCTGCCTGCGACCAGAGGTGGCTTGGAGCCTAGGACAACAAAGGCTCTCCACGGATGGTTCACGTCCTATACAGCCTTTTCAAACGAAGATCCTTTTGCAAAAACCATGACCTTTTATACAGCACAACCCTATACCGCATTTTCCCTGCTGACTCCAGTCGGGCTGGGAATCATCAAGGAGGGCGAACCGCACTAGAACTGCAGCTCTGGAAAGGCGCCAGCTGGCTGATCTTTCTGCTGGCCTTTTTTTCCCTCTGAAGCCAAGCACCTGCATCTTTCCTGACGAAGCCTTTGCTCTCCTGTCACAGCCCCCTTGACTGAGTTTCTCCCTCGGCTTCGGTTCAAAGCAGAGTCCTGCCATTGGTCCAGCATTACGCTAGACTTGGGTTTGATGCAACACGGCTGGAGATCTGGGTGACCGCTCTGCAGTCGAGCAAACCGCTTCACGTAGAGAAAGTTCTCAGTTTGATCTTTAGCCTTCCTTTAAAAAAAAATCTGTTATGGCTTGTGCCTTGTTAGAAGCCACATTCCAGCGCTCCTTTGGCATTTGTCCATATCATGAAGACAGGGTGCAAAAATAACAAACTAGTAATTTTTTCCTTGCTCAAGTCCAGCAAAAGCAGCTGTGGTGTAACTCTATATTTCTTAAACCTGGATTTCCGACCCCAGATGCCAAATTTAACTAATTCCTCCTAAGTGCCTCACTTAAACTAGCAGCTATATTATAGGCACAAGAGCACAGAATCTGCATATGAAGCTATCTGTTACATGTAAATTGACAATTATGCATCATCATTCAGTTCTGTCACCAGTAGGATCCCTGTATCTATGTGGGATCGGTTCAAAGTCTTCCCGGGGATACTGAAAAATCCAGATTATAGCAAATGTTACACATGGCATGGTCTCTGTCTCCATCTAATGGCCAGGTCTAGTAATTTCACTTTTATAAATTTTCTAGGGTTTCTCTTTTAATATGTTCAGACTGTGGACAAGTGAATCAGTGGATACTGATACTGTGGATACAGGGATCCCACTGTACCTCCCACAAATGAGCCAGCCACAAAAACCGCTAGATGTTTCTTGGCTATTTAGAATGGCGTCCATGTTCCTCTGCATAAGCACCCTCCCCTCCAAAAACCACCTATCATCAGGATTCGGGTTTCTACTTACAATGAACCAGCAGTCAAAATAAATGTATTTTGATATTTCTGTCTGCTTGGCCAACACAAACCAGCAGATGCTAGCCAATGACATTTGGTTCCTTTCCAATTCTGTGATAGCAAACGGAAAAGGCTCATTCAAACCCTGCTTCCCAAGAATGTTTAGGAATAAACAAGTACGGGGAAAACATAATGAAGGACAAAATCCTACTCATACTCACTGTTCTTTTAAAGTGTCACGGAAGCTCCGCCAAGATTCTTTCTGCAACAACATCTACCAAACATCTGCATTTCTTAAAAATTACGGCGGGTATTCTAGCAAGAGTAAGACTTCCAAACAGCAGGAATGAGGCAAGAGGGTGACCTTATCAGCAAGTGTGTTGGGGCTCCATCAGCAATGGGAGACATTCAGAAGGAAGAGCGCAGGGCTCGAGAATTCACACGGGCATCATCCTAGGGGACCTGCCTGCTTGTGACTCGCAAACTGTGGTTCTCAACCTTGGTTCTTGGACGAAAGCTCCCAGAAGCCTTTGCCCGACTAGCTGCGCCGGCCAGGATTTATGGGAGTTGGCGTCCAGGCTGACAGATACATCCATCCGTTCTCAAGGTTGACTTTAGCTTGGAATAGGTCCTTCTCACTGCCTATTCACCACCACTACTCGGATGCAAAATGGGAACCCCCAGTGCAAACACAAAGGCTGCCATAACATGCCCCCAAAACCTCAAAACTACCAGAATGAGACAACAAAATGCACATTTTAATCAGAAGAAAGAAGACCGCCTTATTCGAATGGCTCAGAACTCCAGCCTCTCAAGGGGGGGGCTATCCCGGGTGGCGGGGTCTGGCCTCCAAAGCCTGCCCCCCGCGGCTCCACGCGGTCCTCATTGTTGCAGTTCCTTGAGGCCTTTGAGGGATTCCGCGCAGGAACGGATCAGGGAGCAGAGCTGTATGCTCGTCTCGATGGAAGTGCTGTGCTGGAGCTCCTGGCCTGCCCAGCCGATCTTCTGCAGGATGGCCTCCTCGGCCGTGGCCAGGGAGCCCACGGCTGGGGGGCCGAC